CCCGCCCGCTGCCCGCTTCGCAGCCCGCCCGCCGCGCTGCCCGCTCGCCGCGTCGCCCGCTCGCCCCGCTGCCCGCTTCGCAGCCCGCCCGCCGCACTTCCCGCCTGCAGCGCCGCCTGCCCACCGCGCTGCCCGCTTCGTAGCCCGCCCCCCGCACTGCCCGCTCGCCGAGTCGCCCGCCCGCCGCGCTTCCCGCCGAGCTACCTACCTGCAGCGCTGTGGCAGCTTCCTTTGCTCAGTCGCACTGTCGCTATGGCTTCCATCCGCGTGCTGTCGTTCGATGCTGAGGGCCGCCCTGTGAAGTTCGCCACTTGGCTGGATGACCTGCAGCTGTTCCTTCTGAGCGATAGCAAGGAGCATGTGTCGCTCTATGATTACGCGTCTGGTGCTGCACCTGCCCCCCCTGCCACAGCTGAGCTTAGTGTTCGTTCCCACTGGCAGACTCGTGACGCAGCTGCTCGCCTAGCCATTCGCAGTCACCTCCCGCTAGCTGAGCTCGAGCATTTTGGCGACTGCAAATCCGCTAAGGCCCTGTACGATGCTGTCGTTGCTCGCTACTCCTCGCCTGCCACAGCCGAGCTTAGCCGCCTCATGCTGCCGTACCTGTTCCCTGAGCTGTCCACCTTTGCTACAGTCGCCGATCTTATCACCCACCTTCGCACTAGTGATGCTCGCCTGCGTGCTGCCCTTCCCACCGAGTTCTGCGCTAAGAACCCCCCTCCACTGTACTGGACACTCCACTTCATAGTCACCCGACTCCCTGACACCCTCAGCTCAGTTCGAGACCACTTCCTTGCTCGCTGTCCCACTGAGCTCACAGTCGCCCTCCTAGAGGAGCAGCTGCTAGCGGCCGAAAAGAGCATTGTAGCTGTCGGTGCTGCTCGTGGCGCTCCTCGCACCCCCATCTTTGAGGGGTGTTCTCCCTCTCCCCTCGCTCCCTCCTACGCTACTGCTGCTGCTGTTGACTTCCTTGGTGCTGAGTCTGCTGGCGCTGCTTCTGCTCCTGGTGGGAGGCGCCGCACCGGCAAGGGCAAGGGGGGCAAGGGTGGCGGGGGTGGCGCTGGGGGGGGAGGAGGTGGGGGAGGTGGGGGGGGAGGCGGTGCTGGAGGGAGCGGTGGCGGGAGTGCTGGTGGGAGTGGGGTCGGCAGCGGAGGCGGGGGCGGCGGAGGGAGCGGTGGCGGTGGTGGCGGCGGCGGCGGCGGCGGCGGCGGCGGCGGTGGCGGTGGCGGCGGTGGCGGTCGGAGCGGAGGTAGTGGTGGTGGCGGAGGTCGGAGTGGAGGCACTGGCTCGGGCCAGAGCTCCCAGCAGCAGCAGCGTCCCCAGACGACCCAGCAGCTTCGTGAGTGGCTTGCTCAGCGTGGGACGTCGGGGGGCAATGGCCGCTGTTCCTATGTCATTCGCACAGGTGACCGCAAGGGACAGACGTGTGGGAGGTTCCACACCCCGTACCGCTGCTTCTCCCGCCTTGACGACGCTTGGCGTGAGGAGATGGGCGAGGATGTTGAGCGCCCCCGCTGGGCTGAGCTCATGAGGGCTGGTGTTGATATCTTTGCTCTTGACTATGATGCTATTATTGCTGCCATGTATGCATTGACTGTTAGTGCCGAGGGAGACTGTTACTTGTGTGTGCCGCCTGACCCAGGTATAGAGCCCGCTGCCCTGGGTACTAGTGAGTCTGCTCTCTCCGGTATGGTGCCCCCTGTACTTGCTCCCTCCAGTGCTGTCCCGGCTGTTTGCGAGTCTGCTCTCTCAGGTACAGCACCCACAGAGACTGCTCTCTCAGGTACCGCACCGGCTGAGGCCTGTCACACCTTCACCCTTGACTCAGGTGCTTCCCGCTGTTTCTTTCGTGACAGTACTGAGCTCACACCGCTTCCTGCACCGGTCCCAGTCTCCTTGGCTGACCCCTCTGGGGGCCCAGTCCTTGCCCAGTCCACCACTGTGCTCCCTTGTCCGGCGGTTCCGTCTGGCTCGTTGTCGGGTTTCCACCTCCCCTCGTTCTCGACGAACCTGGTGAGCAACGCTGTCATCCAGGATCAGTGGGTTGACACCTTTACCCCTGGAGGACAGCGTGTGGCGATCTGCACGTGCTCCAGGACCGGCCGTCACCTGGCTACGTTTACCCGTCGGCCGGGGTCGAGTCTCTACACACTGACCACTGCGTCTCCTCAGGTCGCTGCTGTCGGTCAGGTGTCCGCGTCAGGTCTGGTGGCCCACGCCTGTGAGTGTCGTTCCCTGTCACACCAGACTCTTCTCTGGCACCACCGCCTGGGTCACCCCTCCGTGGCATGCACCGTCGCCGCCTTGTGTCTGGTCTTCCCAGGTCTCTCCCTCCCCTCCCTGCCTCGCCTGCGCCGCCTTGCCTTCCCTGTATCGAGGGGCGGCAGCGCGCCGCTCCTCACTCCTCGTTCCCCCCGACAGAGGCTCCTCTGCAGACCCTCCACCTGGACGTGTGGGGCCCAGCCCGCGTTCGTGGCCAGGGCGGTGAGCGGTACTTTTTGCTGGTTGTCGACGACTACTCGCGTTACACCACGGTCTTCCCCTTGCGCACCAAGGGTGAGGTCCCTGCTGTTCTGATCCCTTGGATCCGCACAGTTCGTCTCCAGCTCCGCCGCCGTTTCCGGACGGATCTTCCTGTCCTGCGTCTGCACTCTGACAGAGGTGGTGAGTTTTCCTCCGATCTCTTGAGGACCTTCTGTCAGGCGGAGGGCATCGAGCAGACCTTCACGCTTCCGGACTCCCCACAGCAGAATGGGGTTGCTGAGCGCCGCATTGGCCTGGTCATGGAGGTCGCTCGTACCTCCTTGGTCCACGCGGCGGCTCCCCATTTTCTGTGGCCGTTTGCTGTCCGGTACGCCGCGCATCAGCTCAACCTCTGGCCCCGTGTCTCCTTGCCGGAGACCTCGCCCACACTGCGTTGGACGGGGGAGGTTGGCGATGCGTCGCGCTTCCGGGTGTGGGGTGCTCGTGCCCTTGTCCGCGATACGTCTGCGGACAAGCTCTCCTCCCGCACGCTTCCCTGTGTCTTCCTTGGCTTTGTCCCTGACGCGCCTGGCTGGCAGTTTTACCACCCCACCTCGCGCCGGGTCTTCGCCTCTCAGGACGTCACCTTTGACGAGTCGGTTCCCTTTTACCGTCTCTTCCCCTACCGCACTGCCCCCCTCCCTCCCCCGCCGCTGTTCCTTGCTCCTGGTCCCCCTCCGGTAGACCCCCTTCCCCCTCAGGGTCCTGCTCCTTCAGGTGTCTCTCAGGTAGACCCTCCTCCCGTCGCTGAGCCTGTCGAGGTCACAGGTGACTCAGGTGCTGCTGCGGGTGGTGCTGCTGGGAGTGCTGAGTCTGGGGGTGCTGAGCCTGCGGGTGCTGGGCCTGGGAGTGCTGGGACTGCGGGTGCTGGGGCTGAGGGTACTGTGCCTGAGAGTTCGGCGCCTGGGGGTGCTGCAGCTGGGAGTGCTGAGCCTGCGTGTGCGGAGTCTGGGGGTGCTGCGCCTGCGGGTACTGAGCCTGGGGGTGCTGCTACTGAGCCTACGGAGCCTCGGGTTGCTGCGTCTGGGGGTGCTCCGGTTCGGGGTGCTGAGCAGTCTCTCACACCGCAGCAGCTTCGTGACTGGTACGTCCGGCGCTTTCGCCGTCCTCGTGGCTCGGCTGGAGTTGGGGGTGCTGGAGCTGCTCGTCCTGGGGGTGCTCGTACTGGGGGTACTGGAGCTGCCGGGACTGGTTGTTCTGGGAGCACTACGACTGGAGCTGCTGGAGCTGGGGACTCTGGAGCTGGCGGTGCTAGCGGAGTTGGAGCTGCCGACTCTGGGGGTGCTCTTCCTAGCGGTGCTGCGGACCCTGGGGGTGGCGCTGCTGCTGGTGCTGCGGACCCACCTGGTGGAGCTGCTGCTGGTGCTGAGGACTCGGACGTTGGAGCTGCTGCTGGAGCTGAGGACCCGAGCGGTGGCGCTGCTGCTGGTGCTGGGGACCCGGACGTTGGAGCTCCTACTGGTACTGAGGACCCGGCCGCTGGAGTCTCTTCTGCTTCTGGAGACGCTGCGCGGCCGCGACCGTACTTCGTACCGCTCCTTCAGCAGGTTCTTGGGCAGGCTCCTCCTCCTTGTCCTCCTCCCTCCGTAGAGTGTCCTCCGCCTGTCCAGCCGCAGTCACAGTTACCGCCTACCTCGCCTCTCCCTGCTCCCTCTCCTTACACTGGTCCCACAGGAGGTCTTACAGAGCGTCGTGAGCCTGAGTCTCGTCCTGCGTCGCCTGTTCGTACTGCTCGCACTGGTAGTCGTGTCCGTCGTGCTCGTCCTCCTCCTATCCCAGGCACTCACTACATGACTCTGCGTCCCTCTACTGCTCCTCAGCGTGTCCCTCTACCGTCTCCTCCTGCGTCCTCTTTGCCTGCCGTTCCGGACCCTGAGTCTGACCGGTATCGCGCTGAGCACCCTACTGTCATGCGTCTCCTCGCTACTGTTGTCACTGACCCTACCTTTGAGTCCTCGGCTGCGTCTGCTCTGGTCGCTGAGTTGGTTGACTTTGCTGCTGCCTGTCGTCTAGACTACGCTGCTAGCCTTGTTGCTGAGTCTGAGTCTGCGTCTGTCTGTCCTCCGTCCGTCGGGGGTGAGTGTGCTCTTGGCACGGACGTTCTTGAGGACAGGCAGGAGGACTTTGACTCTCTCGCGGCTGCTGTACCTCATCTCGTGGCCTGGTTGCTTGCCCCTGAGGGAGACCCGGATGCACTAGACATCCCCACTCCGCGCACTTACGCAGAGGCGATCTCGGGTCCCTACTCCTCTCAGTGGCAGACAGCCATGGACGCAGAGATGGCATCCTGGAAGTCCACAGGCACCTACGTCGACGAGGTTCCCCCTCCTGGGGCGAACATCGTCGATGGCATGTGGATTTTCAGGGTGAAGCGGCCGCCAGGTTCTCCGCCTGTCTTCAAGGCTCGTTACGTTGCTAGAGGCTTCAGTCAGCGTCAGGGGGTCGACTTCTTCCAGACCTTCTCCCCCACCCCGAAGATGACCACTCTTCGGGTTCTGCTGCACGTTGCTGCTCAGCGTGACTACGAGCTTCACTCTCTTGACTTCAGCACAGCGTTCCTGCAGGGCAGCCTGCACGAGGAGATCTGGCTGCGCCGCCCACCTGGCTTTACTGGGTCGTTTCCTCCTGGTACCCAGTGGAGCCTCCGCCGGCCAGTCTACGGTCTCCGCCAGGCACCACGTGAGTGGCACGACACACTGAGGACTACACTTGCGGCTCTTGGGTTCGCGCCGTCTACTGCTGACCCGTCGCTGTTTCTGCGCACAGACACGTCGCTGCCGCCGTTCTACATTCTCGTGTACGTCGACGACTTGGTCTTTGCTACTGCTGACACTGAGGCACTCGCTCGTGTGAAGTCGGAGCTGCAGAAGAGACACACCTGCACTGACCTGGGTGAACTGCGTAGCTACCTTGGCTTGCAGATCACCCGGGACAGAGCTCGCCGCACCATCACCCTGACTCAGTCACACATGGTGCAGCAGGTCCTTCAGCGCTTCGGCTTCCAGTTCTCCTCACCACAGGCCACACCTCTGGCTACCAGCCACTCGCTCTCAGCTCCACCTTCGGACGAGTCCGTAGAGCCGAGTGGCCCGTACCCAGAGCTTGTAGGCTGCCTCATGTACCTGATGACTTGCACGCGACCTGACCTCGCGTACCCTCTTAGCATCCTTGCTCGTTACGTTGCACCTGGGAGACACAGGCGAGAGCACTGGGAGGCTGCTAAGAGGGTGCTGCGTTACTTGTGCAGTACATCAGGCATGGGGCTGGTGCTTGGAGGACGCGACAGAGTTGTCCTCACTGGTCACTCGGACGCTTCTTGGGTGGACGACCTGGCTACGCAGCGGTCGTCACAGGGTTACACCTTCAGCCTTGGCTCTGGTTCTGTCTCGTGGCGGTCCACCCGCTCTTCCTCTGTTCTCGGCTCTAGTTGTGAGGCTGAGATCTACGCCACAGCCATGGCTGCACAGGAGTTACGCTGGCTCACCTACCTGCTGACTGACTTGGGAGAGCGGCCTAGTTCTCCTCCAGTTCTGTACGGTGACAACAAGGCGGCTCTTGCCTTGTGTCAGGAGCACAGACTGGAGCACAGGACGAAGCACATTGCTCTTCGCTACTTTCTTGCTCGAGAGCTTCAGCAGCGCGGTCAGCTTCGGCTTGTGTACGTGGACTCGAAGGCCAACACTGCTGATATCTTCACCAAGGCGCTCCCGCCTAGTGATCATCAGCGGCACTGTACTTCTTTAGGCCTTGTGTCCACGTTTCCTCACTTGCTCACTGCTTGACATTCTTTGTACTGTACTTTATATATATCTTGTTGCTTGCTTGCTAGGTTTTGATCACTGTGTTGCTTGTCTTGTACTATATCTAGCACTGCATGTGAACTGGCCTTGTGGCCTTTGCTTGTGCTCGGAGTGTGGTGACGTTGTGATCCACCCTGGGCTTGCGTTGCTTTGCTGGACTGGTCTTGTGACCCTTTGTTCTCCCCCACTTTGCCTATGGGGGTGTGTTAAATTGTAATGTGTTATATGTTGGTAGGCTGTAGTGGGGTAGCCAATATGGGGTACAACCCCAACTAGGGTTTACTACTTGTACCCAACTGTTTCATTCAATGCACCATTCTTGCCTAGTTCTTTTCACAGAACACTGTAGTATAGCGAGACAAGTCGTCAACGACCACCAGAAAGAAACGCTCACGCTCAGGGCCAAGGCGAGAGGCGGGGCCCCAGACGTCCAAGTGGAGCGTCTCAAAAGGCTCGGTGGCCGGACGAAGGGAGGAGGAGTGAGGGGTGGCGCGCAGCCGACCCTCGACGCAGGGACTGCACGGAGGCGCAAGCGAAGGTGGCAGCGACGACAAGACACGCGGGAGACCCAAGACAAGACGCCGACGGCAGCGGCAGGTCGGGTCTGTGGCAGCTGCAGGGCGGGGCCGCATCAGCGGCAGATCGGGGCGGAGGCAGCAGAGGGCCGCGCGCGGCTCGGCGCAGGCTGCGCGGACAGTGCGCTGGGCTGCTGCAGGCCGCGCGCGGGTCGCGCGAGGCAGTAGCGGGCCGCGCGCGGCTCGGCGCGGGCTGCTGCGGGCCGCGCGCGGGCCGCGCGAGGCAGTAGCGGGCCGCGCGCGGCTCGGCGCGGGCTGCGCGGGCTCGGCGCGGGCTGCGCGCGGCAGCAGCAGGCTGCGCGCGGTTCGGCGCGTGCTGCACGGGCTTGGCGTGGGCTGCGCGCGGCAGCAGCGGGCTGCGCGCGGCTCGGCGCGGGCTGCGTGGGCTCGGTGCGGGCAGCGCGCGGCAGCAGCGGGCTGCGCGCGGCTCGGCGCGGGCTGCGCGGGCTCGGTGCGGGCAGCGCGCGGCATCAGGGGCCTGACGGGTCTGTAGGGGCGGTTCGCGGGCCTGAAGGGCCTGTAGGGGCGGCGCGCGAGCCTAGGGCAGCAGGAGGCAGCGCTAGGGCTGCTGGACGGCGCGCGTAGTGCAGCACGTCACAAGGCAAGGCAAGGCAGGCAGGTGCGTGGGGTAGCGCGGTAACCGCAGCGGTAGGTGGGCCCGAAAAAAAAAAAAAACGGTCCTACGGACCTTAGTGCTCTGATACCATGTCAGAATCTAGCAGCAGGAATGTGTGTACTAGCAGCATGCAAGAGTACAAGTAGTAAACCCTAATTGGGTTGTACCCCATATGGGCTACCCCACTACAGCCTAGACAATGTGCAGCATACATGTTTGACAGATTGTTTTATACCATCGCGCTCGAATCAGAAACGTACAATATGTTGAAAATTCTAAAGTCGAGTAATTATCATTTACCATTAACGGTAAAAATGAAGAAGTAATTATTACGGGTTGTTATCGTAATCCAACCAATCAACGTAATCATAACATTTTTATTGATATCATTACAACTATCATCACTAAGCATACTAATAGTAACATGATTTAATTGGGCGATTTCAATGTGGATATGAAGCCTAGACCGAGTGACCCCACGCTGCAGGAAGATTGGGACGAGCGCTCCTCGGCTGGCTACTATTTGATGTCGCAGAGTTTGGAGCTGAACCAGCGTCACCACGTCATGCACCTGCTGCCGGAGGTTGAATGCGGTCCGAAGGCGTGGACCGTGTTGAAGGAGCTGCACGCCCCGACCTCCGTTGTCGCAACGTTGATGCTGGAGAGGGAGCTGTCCGCGTTGCGCCTGAGCGAGGGAGAGCCGGTGCAACCAGTCCTGGACAAGATGCGCGACCTCTACGCGAAGTTGGCGACCGCGGGAATCACCTACCCGGAGCAGACCAAGTGCTTGAAGATGCTCTCGCTGCTGCCAGAATCGTGGCTTCAATTTACGAGCGGATTGAGCCTGCCGCAGAACCAGAGCTTGTGGACGCTCGAGTGGGTGCGGACGAAGATTCTGGAGGAGGACTTCCGTCGCCGCCAACTGAGGGGTGGAGACGACGGCAGCAGCGGCTACGGGATGCAAGGGAGCCGACGTGGCAGAGGACGTGGCTTCGGTGGTGCTGGACGCGGTGCAAAGAAAGACGACGACTCCAACGACCAACAAGGAGGTACCGGTTGGGGTCGCGGTGCGAAATCTGGACGTGGGGGCAAGTCGGGTGCTGGTGGCAAAATGAAAGGGAGTTGCTGGTATTGTGAGAAGGAAGGGCACCCCTGGTTTTTGTGCTATAAGAAACCCGATGGATGGACCCCCCAGAATCGTCACCAGGATGGCGGCGCACGGAGGAACCAGAAAAACGGCGCCAACATGGTCGCTGATTCGTCCGACAACAACCCGAAGGGCAACGGCGGTGCGGAGAAGAAGAAGGAGCGCACCGCGGGCCAATTCTTCCATGTAGGAGACAAGGGGGAGCAAGGAGACGCCTCTGCCAAAGTTGGAGCAGAGCTGCACCCCCTAGACTATTGGGTGTTGGACACAGGCGCTGCTTGGACGATGACGCCGCGCAAGGACCTGCTGGACGAAGTACGAGCTGCACCGATCAATGAAGTGTGCTCCGCCTCTGGACACATGTTGAAGGTGGCTGGTGCGGGACGAGCTGCGTTTAAGGGAGCGGATGGCAAGCCGGTGGTGCTGCACGACGTTCTCTTCGTCCCCGACCTGAAGGCCAACCTTATCTCCCTCCGTAAGCTTGGCAAGGCTGGGGTGAACACCAACACGGATGGGGCACGCACTTATAAGGGGAAGCTGGGCAATCGGGTGCTTTGGGATCTGCACGAGAGCAAGGACGTGTACAGATCTATGTGGCAGCTGCCGGCCCTGGCGTGGCATGGTGGGGGGCAGGCTGGAGAGGGGTCTGCATCCCAGGGGGAGTGCAATGCCGTTGGAGGGGTTGGTGTGAAAGTGTCGGCCAGATCTGGGGAGACAGATTGGGCAACGGCACACCGGCGCTTAGGGCATGTGGCAATGCCTTTGCTGAAGCAGCTGGAGAAGGACGGAGCCGTTAAGGGTCTGAAGCTGAACGGACAGCCACCCGATGACAACTGTGAAATCTGTTTGCTTTCAAAGTTCACCCGTTTCCCTTTCCATAGTGTGGCTGGCAGGAGCAAGAAGCCTTTGGAGCTGGTCCACATGGACTTGGTGGGGCCGCTGCCGGTGCAAGGGCACAAGGGGGAGCGGTATTTTCTTACAATTGTGGATGACTGGAGCAGACTGATGTGGGCGTATCCGCTGAAGCAGAAGGACCACGCCGCCTCCACGATACGGGACGATTGGCTGCCATTCGTGGAGAAGCAGGCGGAGTGTGTAGTGAAGCGGATTAGGACAGACCGGGGTGGTGAGTTCCTTGGAGCTGAAATGACGGCCTGGCTCAAGAAGCAGGGCATCCAGAGAGAGCTGACCACGGCTTATACCCCACAGTCCAATGGTGTAGCAGAACGGGCAAACCGGACCATTCTGGAGACAGCTAGGGCGCTGCTCATAGAATCTGGGCTGAGCAACTCTATGTGGCCTCATGCTGTCCGGCACGCCACCGTCGCTAGGAACAGGGTGCTCACCAAGGTTGGGGATGACTCGTGGGTGCCTTTGGAGAGGTGGCTTGGGAGGAAGCCGCCGGTGGACATGCTGAGGGTGTTCGGTTGCATGGCAGTCGCTCACGTCCCCAAGACCTACCGCAGTAAGTTGGGGGCGAGCGCAATCTGGTGTGTGCATTTGGGGCTGGCTGCTGAAAGCAAGGGATGGCTGCTGTGGGAACCATCCAAGGGTGTGTTGTTTGACAGCAGGGATGTGAAATTCATTGAGGGCATGATGTATGGGAGCTGGGAGAAACAGCCGGAGGCAAGGGTGTCCCAGCAGATGGAGCAGATCACCATGCAGCTGGACCTGACTCCTAGTGTGTGGGAGGAGGGAGAGGAGGCAGCTGCTGGAAATGGTGATGGAGAGAAGGTACAGGAGGCATCTGCTGGTGGAGAAAATGGTGTGGAAACTGGCGGCAGCACTAGTGGAGCTGCTGGACCCGAGGGAGGAGAGAAGCAGCAGGGAAAAACTAAGAAGCCGAAGGGTGTCGTTATGAAGGGATGGGAGACACCCGTCTCCAGGCCAGGACGTACCCGTATGGCTACTAAGAAGCTGACTGCAGGAACTGATGCAGCAGAGCAGCAGCTAGGGACCGAAGAGGCATTGCTGATTCTACCTCATGGCTATGACCCGGATGAGGAGGATGAGCCTGCGTACTGTTTTCTTGCCCCTGCACCAGAGGAACCAGCTAGCATGGAGGAGGCATTAGCTGGACCAGATAGGGACAAGTGGCTGGCTTCTAGGGATGCTGAGTACCAGAGTCTGCTGGAGAATAGGACATGGGATCTGGTGGTGCTGCCTGATGGGAAGAAAGCGATACAATGCAAGTGGGTGCTGAGGATCAAGACCGATGACAAGGGGCAGGTCACCATCTACAAGAGTAGGCTGGTGGCGAAGGGGTTTATGCAGAAGGAGAAGCAGGACTTCAACGAGATCTTTGCTCCCACTGCCAAACCCCCTACCCTCCGTGTCTTGTTGGCAGATGCAGCTGTTAGTGGAAAATTCATCATTCAGATGGATATTTCAACGGCATTCCTGAATGGGATTTTAGAGGAGGATGTGTACATGACGCAGCCGCCTGGGTATGAGGATGGTACGGGCAGGGTGTGCAAGCTCAACAAGTCCATCTACGGCTTGAAGCAGGCGCCACGCTGCTGGTACCAGAAGTTGGCAGCTGTTTTAGAGGAGATGGGATTCAGGACCAGCAGCTGTGATGAGAGCCTCTTTCTCAAGGGCGAGGGGGAGAAGCTGGTGCTGTTTCTGGTCTACGTGGATGACA